TGAGGCAGATAGCAACTCCACTGGCTGATCATGTAAAGAGCCAGTTGGTCTCAATGGGATAGAATGATGGATTGGATCTACACGAAAATAAATAGGATAAATGTGAAAGTCTGACATATGCATTTATGAAAATTCATGAGCATCAAAGAGAGATGGTGTGACAAACCTATCTCTGCTCTCAGAGATTGCAATTTCAATATGAAAGCAGGTGGGCAGATGGATATGAACTAGTGTTTATTGAGTGCCTCAGGTCCTAACCATGGGTATCAAGGAATCATAGACATTATTATGATTCACGTTTTACAGAGGAACAGAGACATAAAATAATTTCCCCGATGTCCTATACATTACAAGAAGCAGATCTGGGGTTTGAGCCTCTAGCAGTCTTGTGGCAAAGCCCTGCCCTTCTCAATCCATCACCGTGTGAACAGTGCCGTACACACAGTGTGAGAGCTAATGCAGTCTTATGTTAGACGAACAAAAGTACAAGGTCAGAACAAAGGAAGAAGGATGCACTGGTCAGACCACTGAGAGGAGTCTCAGGTAAAGAACAAGGCACACTCCCAACATTCATCAAAAGAAGATTAAAACAAAAAGCATATATTCACACAATGAACTACCACTCAGCATTGACAAAGAACTATTACCACACGCAACAACATAGGCGGATCTCAAAAGACATCATGTTGAGTAAAGGAAGCCAAGCTTCAGTAAAGGAAAAGAGTGCATACTAATATGAAGTTTAAGAAAAAAAATGAAATTAGATCACCAACTTACACCATACACAAAAATAAACGCAAAATGGATAAAGGACTTAAATATAAAACGGGAAACCATAAAAATACTAGAAGAAACCAAAGGCAGCAAAATCTCAGACATATGCCGAAGCAACTTCTTCACCGATACTACTCCTAGGGCAATGAAAACTAAAGAGAAAATAAACAAATGGGACTACATCAAAATAAAAAGCTTCTGCACAGCAAAAGAAACCATCAACAAAACAAGAATGCCCACTGCATGAGAGAACGTATTTGCCAATGTTATCACCGACAAGGGTTTAATCTCCAACATTTACAGGGAACTCATATAACTAAACAAAAGTAAGATAAACAACCCCATCCAAAAAATGGGCAACGAACCTAAATAGAAACTTTTCAAAAGACAGAAGGCCAAGAGACATATGAAAACACACTCAAAGTCACTAATCATCTGAGAGATGCAAATCAAAATGACAATGCAGTACCATCTCACACCTGTCAGAATGGCTATCATCAACAAATCAACAAACAACAAGTGCTGTCAAGGATGTAGAGGAAAAGGAACCCTCGTGCACTGCTGGTGGGAATGCTGACTGGTGCAGCCACCGTGGAGAACAGTATAGAGTTTCCTCAAAAAACTAAAAATGGAACTCCCTTTGACACAGTGATCCCACGTCTAGTAATATACCCCAAGAAACTAGTAACACCTATTAGAAAGGATATATGCACCCCTATGTTCATAGCAGCACAATTCACCATAGCTAAGATTTGGAAATAGCCTAAGTGCCCATCAGCAGATGAGTGGATTATAAAACTGGTGTACATCTACACAATGGAATACTATCCTGCAGTAAAAAAGTAGTTCTTACCATTTGCAACAGCATGGATGGGACTGGAGAGCATTATGATAAGTGAAATAAACCAGTCAAAGAAGGATAAATACCAAATGATCTCACTCATTTGTGTAATATGATGAACAACAAACTGATTAACAAGGACAGACCCAGTGACAGAGAGGCATCAATTGGACCGTCAGGTCTTGGAGGGAAGGTAGGGGAAAGGTGGGGGTGAGATAAACCAAAGGACTTATATGCAAGCATATAGGCCTAACCAATGGACACAGTCAACAGGGGGGTGAGGGCATAGTGGGGGGTATAGGGGTAACGTGGTGATAAGGACACATATGTGATAACTTAATCAATAAAAAAATAAAATAAATAAAAATAAAAATATAATTGATATAAAATCACTTAGAACACCACTGGTTCATAGTGGTGAGAGTAAGTAGAAACAGGGTTAGACAGACAGGGTAAGGGGTGAAAGGAAGGAGGATATATGGATGTAACTGTTGGAACCAGCTAAAACCACAATACTGGTTTTGCAGAAAAACAGGATGCCATAAGAATGCTTATCTTGCATAGGCTGGAGGTTACAAGAAATGGGGAGGAAGAGGAACAAAAAGAGGGGGAGCATGAGATGGATTTTAAAATTGTTACTGAACAAAGAAGATAGAAGAAACCAATCAGCGAGATAGACAAAGAGTGGGTCCATAGCAAATAAAAACCTCTAGACCAGCCATGGGCAAACTACGGCCCGCGGGCCAGATTCGGCCCATTTGAAATGAATAAAACTAAAAAAGACCGTACCCTTTTATGTAATGATGTTTACTTTGAATTTATATTAGTTCACACAAACACTCCATCCATGCTTTTGTTCCGGCCCTCCGGTCCAGTTTAAGAACCTATTGTGGCCCTCGAGTCAAAAAGTTTGCCCACCCCTGCCTAGACAAATAAACTTCGGCAGGAACCCATTCTTGGGTCCCCTCCTCATGTGGGGAGTTTATATCTGCTTATAATAAATTTCCATACTTTTGTTTTAATCTTCTGGTCTGAGATTTTCTTCAACTTCGTGAGACACAATCCAGGAAGAACTTCAGTTCAGCATTTGATATCAGTGGTACTACCTAAGCATATTATTTCTATAGCTAGTCACTACCTGGAGGCATTCCCAGAAAACTACCCAGTACAGCCTGGGGGAGGTCTGTAGAAGCAAAGTGACTAAAAAGCTGGTAGCAGTAAATATTGAAAACTGTCATTTTTCATACACTGTATTACCTGTTGAGTCTCAGAGCCAAGCAGAGCTAAGTGAAAGGCCTCTGGACAATGAAAGCTGGGCTAAGAAGCTGTGATGGTTAATTTAATCAGCTGGACTGGTCCACAAGGTGCCCAGACATTTGGCCAAATATTACTCTGGGTGTGTCTGGAGGAAATTAACATTCAATTTTGATCAGTAGACTATGTATAGCAGATTGCTCTCCCTAAGATGGGTGGCCCTCAATCAAGGATCTGAATAGAACAAAAAGTCTGAATAAGAGTGAACTTCTGCTTTACTGCTCTAGCTATAATGTTAGTTTTCAGCCTTGGGACTCAGTCTGCAAGGGGTTCGTCTTGGGTCTCTAGCCTGCTTTCAAAATGGAACTGACACCATTGTCTCTTCTGGTTCTCAGGACTTCAGACTTGGACTGGAACAAATATATCAGCTCACCTGGCTCTTCAGCTCACTGACTGCATATCTTTCGGATTTCTCAGCCTCCATAATTACTGGGTGTTATAGTAAATCAATGTGTGAGTGAGTGAGTGAGTGTGTGTGTGTATGTATGTGTACAAAAGAAACATCCAAACCTATAGATAAATTTTGAGTTTATCTGAACCAACTGATGACAATTGCAGGGAAAAAAAATTGAGAAAATGCTCTGGAGAATGGCAATTTTACTGCTTATTTAATGCATCAGAATACAAGGAGAAGACATTAAGAGGGGTTACATGAAATCCACTGGTGGTAAATTAGGGAGGCAGGAGAAAGCAAAGCAAAGAAATCGTTGGGACTGGATGAAAAGTAAAATGGAGAGAGACATACTTCTTTTACATTGGTGGGTAGATAACAATTCACATTTACAGCACATAGATGGTATTCGGGGTAGAAGATAACAATGAGGGGTTATGTGGTCTCAGGTTATGGTGGGCAACTGTGCCCTGAGGGATCTAGAATATAGGGGATTACTCTGCCATTCCAAAGGTATGTTATCCTAGATGCAAAAAGACAATAGACAGGCTCAGTGAAGGTGAAGACTGACCTTTGTCAAGGAAGATACTTGCCTAGGACATGACTCTCCACCATGACTTGCTTTTAGTTAAGAATTTTATGTTCAGACCATCCTTTGTGGTTACTTTCTGTCTCTGAGTTTATAATACTCACCATGTAAGCCGCTCCTGGGCTTGTCAGGTTTAGTATGTGGCCTCTTTTTCATTATATTTATATACATATATATTCTTTTGAGCTCTAATATAGAAGCTGTGCTTATCCAAATTTTGTCTAGCTGTTACTCTGAAAAGACAACGCACAATGAATTTAACAGTAATGAAGTAAAACAGTCATCTAGATACCTGCTGGCAAATCCAATTTTGCTGACCTTTCTGGTCTAAGGTTACTTTTTAAACTTTAAGCTCCACTATTTGTCATTCCATTTCTTAAACAAGGCAGAGACTGACTGAAAGCTATTTACCAATTCAATTTTATTTCCATTTTAACTAGTACAGAATCCTTGGCCTTAGGGAAATACTCCACCAATTCTATGTGTTCCCAAAATACAAACCAATGAATATATTTAAGACCAAGTAATTTAGGGACAGTTTATTCAAAAAGTGCATTATTTAGAAAGTTTCAAATAAAGTCTAATAAATTAAGTAGCCATTAGAGGTTTTAAAAATATTAGAATGGCTGATAGCTATAAAAACCAACAGCAATCTTTCAAAATCAATAAACAAAAATAAAATGCTATTAGATATTTACCTACATATCTGTAGTTTATAGGTCTGTGAATATCCTGTCTTCTGCCAAAGTAGAAACTGTGATGCCCACTCACCACAGATTAAGCCTAACGTCTTCCCATTCATTACATTAATTATGAAAGCATTTTCTTTCTAATAATTTATTGGCTTTTTAATACATAAAATTCCAATGACTGAATTCCAAAATAAAAATATATTTATCATCCATAAACTCAATACTGTTTATATTTGTTTTTACAAAAGTTTAGCCTTTTGGAAAAACTTAAAAGAAATAGATATGGCAAAATGATTTCTTAAAGAATTTTTTTGTCCAATTAAGCTGATTAATAATCACTGCAAATTTTAATGCAATACTAATCATACCCCAAAATTTCCCAGGTTCTTACTAGGTCAATACAAGTTGAAATCCAGAAGACTTATTAATCTCTCTGTATTCATTTTAAGTCTAAAAGACCATCTCATTTCCTAATGAAGAGTAAGCTACTAAATAATTTCATAAACCTTATTTTGTTTTTCATTGGTCTATTCCCTATTTTGAAAAAGTCTTTTTAAATGTTATCTGAGAATTATTTTAGTTTAGAAATATAGTTTTTGTTTAGCTTATATACTGGAAATACTGACAAATACCTAAAAAAAAATACACAATTAGTGCAAAAAGAGAAAACAATATTTTAAGTCATTCCTTCCCAGTACAAATAAAATTAAGGTTACTATACTAAATGCCAAATTTTATGTAAGTATATAATAATATCCTACTTTGCTTTCTGAAAGATAGAAAATACAAAAACAGTTTAACATTAGGTTTAATGAGGGCACATGTATTATTAATTTTAACTGCAAAAATGTTAGCCACATTTAGAAAAAAATAAACTATAACTATAATAGAATATAACTATATTTCTAAAGGCCAGATGAAAGAATACCAATTATTTTCTTTATAAGTAGAATACATGCCTTAAAACTTATTAAACACTCACTTTGTAGAAATGAACACAATTAAAAACTACTAATCCATGGGGAATTTCACATTTGCCTATCAACACAATTGCATTCATCTTGTAAGGCTTTGGTATAGGTGAATCATAGCATATCCATCATTTATCTTTCTTCTTTGCTTCATTCTTCTCCAGTTCCTCTGTCTGGTCATCCTTCTCCCCCTTCATGTTTACATTTGCTCCCCCTGCTTGATTTCCCCCCTTTGAATTATCAACTATTTTATAGTCCTCAAGGATTGTATGTCCAGTTTGTTTAGCAGTTTTCTTTACCATTGCTTTGATGCCAATGTTGTCAATATTATAGGCAGTTACACCAACATTGATGGCAGAATCTACTGCATCATGTGTAGCTTCTCCTGCAGTATGTCCATATCTTTAAAAGAAAGATTAGAGAAAGTACAATGAAATTATAAATATAAATTAAAGTCTTCTGAATAGTCACACGATTAGCATGTTATCCCTGAAAGCAAAATCAAAGGTTAGGTTTCAATTTAATTAATAACTTAAAACATAGGAAAGAATAAAATCACACTGTACTAAGGCTGTATTTTCTCCTTTAGCAAAAATTGTATATGAAAACAAATTCTAGGTTAGTTGAAATTAATGTAATATTGTTTATGCCCTAGCTGGTTTGGCTGAGTGGACAGAGTGTTGGCCTGCTGACTGAAGGGTACCAGGTTCTATTCTGGTCAAGGGCACATGCCCGGGTTGCGGGCTCCATCCCCAGTGGAGGAGCGTGCAGGAGGCAGCCAATCAATGATTCTCATCATTGATGTTTCTCTCTCTCCCTTCCTCTCTGATATCAATAAAAAAAATTTTAAAAAGATTTTTTAAAAAGATTGTTTATGTTGAAGAATAAAATCTCTATATATAAAAGGCTAAGTGTCTGTCTGACCAGTAGCTATGACGCACACTAACCACCAGGGGACAGACGCTCAATGCAGGAGCTGCCATGACGCACACTGAACATTTAAAAATAAACGGCACCACGAACCTGGTGCCGACAAACCAACACTCGGCTTCCCTCAAGTGGGACACAGGTCCCGCCACCACCCCAGAGCGACACCCCACCAAATCGCAGCCAACGCTGCCAAGACCCCACGGTGCAAAATGCAGCCCATGGACTAGCCCAGCCTGGAAATGGTTGCTGTGGGTACCGGGTAATGACATCACGTAGCAATGCCCGGCTTCCTCTCCCTAGCAACTACCCTCCTTGGGGTTTCTTCAGCCCAGAAACCCGACTTGCTTTATAGCCAGGTGCAAACATTTTACAGTTTAACCAAATGTCTGTGAAGCGTTTTCACGTGCCTCATTGCATTTGAACTTCACAGAAGTCCAGGAGTAGGTAGATAGGAGACTCAGTCCTATTTTCTTTTCATTAGCCAGAAAACGTAGATTTAGAATGTTTAGAAACTTGACCTGACTGAAAAGAAGAAATGGTGGAACTTGAAAATGACTTCAGGTTTTCTCACTGTGTAAAATATAGTCAAACACTGCTACAGTTAAATATTTTACCCTTTGTTCTCCCTGCATGATTTACTATAATCTGTTTCATGCTGATATTTACTGCTGTGTTGCTGACAATTACCTGAAAGAGAAGTTGGGGTGCTTCACTGGGCTGGAAAAAGTTTAGCTAAATCAGAAAGCAGGTCTAATTAAGCAAGTTTATTCTATATATATAAAAGGAGAAGTTGACTTGCGCATGTGCGATACATATAAAACTCTCACTGGCGCCAATCGCAAACATGTGTTTCAATGTGTCATTGTCGATTGTGAATTTGGTTGACACTTCTATTATAGAGAAAGGGCAAATAGTGATATTTACATATTTCTACTAATTAATTTTCTTTCAATGTGCACAAATCTGTGCACCAGGACACTAGTCTACACTAATAAAAGAGAAACATGCAAATTGGTGTCACTCTGCTACGCCCACCAGCCAATCAGGATGAGTATGCAAATTAACCCAACAAAGATGGCGGTTAATTTGCATATGCAGGCATGGAGCAAAGACTGAAGATGACTGAAGACTGAAGACTTGGCTTCTCCGCTGCAGCCGGAGCAAAGAAGCCAAGCCTTGCTGCTATAGCCTGAGCAGAGAAGCCAAGCCTCGCCACTGCAGCCGGACCAAAGGCCTGGGTCCCAGGTGCCGGAGGAAAACTGGTGCTGGCAGCCAGGGGAAGGAAGGCCTATTTCACGAATCTTTGTGCAATAGGCCTCTAGTATGAATTACAATAAAGACTTTTCATTAGTCATGATTTCCTTTTTTTTTTTTTTAATCTGTCCCTTCTGGAAATATAAGGGAATTTCCACGGAAGCAACTGCAGAACATAAAGACTCTGGAGTCATGATAAATGTTTTGTGTTCTACCTTAACTAGATTGGTTAAGACATTTATTTTTAATTGATTTCAGAGAGAGGGATAGCAACATCAATGATCAGAATCATTGATTGGCTGCCTCCTGCACGCCCCCTACTAGGGATTGAGGTGGCAACCCAGGCATGTGCCCTAAACGGTAATTGAACCATGACCTCTTGGTTTGTGGGTCGATGATCAACCACTGGGCCACACCAGTCTGGCAAGACTGGTTAAGTCTTTTAAACTATCAGAATCTGAGTTTGTCTTTATTTTTATATTTTTTTAATTTTA